TCCACGCCATTCTCCTGCCTCAGCTCCCGTTAGCTGGGACTACAAGGCCCCGCCACCACGCCCGCTACTTTTTTGTATTTTTAGTAGAGACGGGGTTTTCACTGTGTTAGCCAGGATGGTCTTTTGATAGTGGTTAAGAGCTGTGTCCTTAAGGGGCTCCCTTCCCTAGTGTTAGAAAAACTCTGGACCACATGACCCAGTCGGCTGTGTTTTTAATGAAAAAATGGATTACAGCACATGTCACGTTCTAAGAGTAGGTATTATTTTGGTAACTTTTTGGTGTGTGTGGCCGGGTGGGGGGCGGGCACTGGTTTGTGATGTAAAATGTGCTTCTTCCTGTGCATCACGGTTAACACATTGGACAGCATCTGCTCTACCCCGTAATGACTCTGGGGAGAGATTCTGAGTCCCTGCATTTCTGAGAATTTCCCTGACGTGTGAGCGACATAGACCAGGGTATGGGCTGCAGCAGCAAGAGCTCACAAAACCGATTTCCTCCCCAGACTGGCTGCCCTGCAGCCCAGTGTCAATTTGTTTAAATGAAGATGGAGTTGGCAGGTGAAAGAGGTGGATGCCCGTAATAAGATTACATTAGTGCGAGCTGGCAAGGAGCCATGCTCTTTTTTGGAACTGATAGTGGAGAGATGAGGGAATATCACATTAGAAAGACTGGAGGAGGGCCCTGATGGAAAGAGGGATCCAGATGCAGGAAGTCTGGGTTCTGGGGGGAGGCTGCCGTGGTCACTAATCAGGATATTGCTGACGTGTAGGGAAGGCCGCTGGGGGAAGATGCCCTGTTTCATCAGAAGAGCACCTTGAGAATGCCTCGTGCTGATGGTTGAACTGTAGAAAAGAATCACAAAACAAAACAAAAACATTCTTTGATTTCTTTCTTGCTCTAGAAATCAACTGATGAGCCTTCCGAAAAGGATGCTCTGCAGCCAGGCCGGAACCTGGTGGCGGCCGGCTACGCGCTGTACGGCAGTGCCACCATGCTGGTCCTTGCCATGGACTGTGGGGTCAACTGCTTCATGCTGGACCCGGTGAGAGGCCTCACAGGAGGCTGGGGGCTTGGCTGGTGTCTGCGAGCAAATGAATGCTATGCGTGGGGGGTGGCGGGGGCGTGTGGAGGTGGCGCGTG